ATTCAGTAGGGGAATGATGACTTGAATTATGGAGCATAGTAGAGAAAGTGGCAATTTGGGGGATGTTTGAGGGAAAGAAAGCGCAGCAGGGCAGGGTGATATGGACACCCCACCAGCAGCCTGAAAGTTCTGACCCCAGATGGACAAAGGTGGAAATAAGAAAGAGCTCTGTGCCTTTTTTCTCAAAGCTGAGCAAGCCATAGGCTGGCCAGATGGCTAAGCAAGTTAAGACACTTGTCACCAAGCCCGACAATCTTATTCATTCCCACAGAAATGACTCCTGCAAGTTGTCCCCTGATTTTGACATCCACATGTGAACCATCACATGCATACACACACATATATGCACACCCACATGGGCGCACACGTATGAGGTAGTTAATTTAAAAAAAATTACATCAAGCAAATTTCCTCACCCTTTTTCTATCTGTACACACTCCTCACTATCTGGAAGAAAAAAAAGTTAGTTGTTTCTCAGCAGGTACTGAGCTAATCCATTGTCTAATACACACATTTTGGTCTGGATATTGAAGAATGAACAAGAATAAGGGATCTGGGAGAGAGGAAAAAAGGAATAGATGGGGCCTTACTTCCTAGCCTACTCACAGACCCCTACTGGAGATGAAACAGGAGTTAAATAAGGACACCAAGGGATGAGCATTTATTAATTGAACCCAGACTCCTAGTCATACAGCAACTGGCCTCCACAACACATTTCTAATACAAGGTAAATCTGCATTGCAAATGTATTCATATTCATAATTTTATTTATTCTGAATATTTTTGTCAATGAAATATCGAGGTTTAGAAGATAATAAAGGCTATTCTTTGTAATGCCTTTATCAGTTGCTTGCTTATTGTTCATCCACATAAGATTTGCTTTGTTGTAAGGAAAAAAATTCATGTTCTCCAAGTCATCCTTAGTCAAAAGGGTTTCATCATGTTGTTAAAAGACCTGACAATAATTCATAGATCTTGGAGGGTAATAAGCAAGCATCCGAACCCTGCCTGAAATAGTGAGGAATGTAATATTTTTAAAAGCAGCATACCGGAGCACTATTCCCTAAGGCAAGGAGCCTGTGCTACTCAACACGGGTTGCCCTGCTTTCTGTCCCCAGCCTTCTCAGAACCATTGTGTTTTTTCTCCTTCCCTCATGGTAGGGCCTGAGCTTCCGTCGTAAACAGTAGGCATCAAACTGCCTCAAAAAAAAAAAAAAAAAAAGTGTGTGGTAAGTACAGTCCTTAATGTTTCTCCCGAGCATTGATTGAGTCATATGATAGAATTATAAGATTCTACCAGAAAAGGGCACTTCATATACCAAAATAGACATTTTATAAAGTTCAATTTGGACATTCCAAACCACATTTAACGTTCTCCAAATATTCCCCCATAAAGGGAAGATATTGGTCTTTGTGGCTTTCAAGTCTCTTCCAGAGATCTACAAAATTACAACCTTTTAGAATTAGCATTTCTCCAATAGACAGACACTAAATGACTTATATCTAAAAGTCACACATGCATTTTCATTAAAATAAATGGTTAAAATAATAAGTATCCTATATTGCTATTTTGGGATTCATGAAAATCAGAAGTCCACATTATAGTTTAGTATGGATCACTTGCAGTGCTTCATCTTCACAGGTAGGTGGGGCTAGCAAGTTCTGCCTTAATTATAATATTTTAGCATATTAAAATCTGTATCTAGATGAAGCAAATACTTCAAAGCTTCAAAACTGATGAAACTGCATAGCTCTCTTTTAAGGGATAATATACTACTAAAACACCCCCTGCTGATTTCACAGGCTTTTGCAGGGAGTTATGCATAATTTTCTGAAATTCAAAGGCTTAAGATCAGATATTTATGATGATAAAAACTAGATCTCAAGAATTATTAAAAACCTGGAAAACTTTCCTAGATGGATCTCTTAAAATTTCTTTCAATAATTATTTAATACAAGGTTAATTAAAAAAACACACACACACACAGTAGAATCAAAAGATTTGAATTTCAGACTCAGCTCCAGCATTTACCAGCAAGGGGCCAATGACTGGATGTCTTTGTGAAACTTCAACAAGAATTTAAATGAGAACTGAATGAAGTAGCCTGGGACATAGCTTTATAAAGGGCCAGAGCCTCACAAATGAGGATTAGTGAGGATGGCATGGTGAAATCTCGTGGAATTTTCTTAAGAATCTAAAATGCTGTTTATGATCATATTAATTTTTTAGGTTGACATTAGTGCTTTTAAAAGTTCATGTGATTGCATCCTGGGTTATCCGAACATCTTCCTTATGACTGACATACAGTGTGTGTATTTTTGTCAGCCTTAATGCCAAATGACTCAGCTTCAGTTGTTTTCCAAGCTAATGGAGACAGAAACAGACATGTTTAATATGTTCTCCCAGATAATAAAGACATGAATTCTGAGCAGAGTTGTTTTAATCCAGAAAAACCTATGAGAGAATTCTATTATATATGGTATACAATATCAGGAGTAAGTGGCACCAGGAAAAAAAATGAATCCAGACAACATAAAAAGTAGTGGTTTTCACATCATTTTGTTATAAAATAATAAAGCCGTGTACATTTGCTTTGTAGGTTTGCATATGTTTATGTTTTAAGCAGTCATATGGAAACTGTAGATCTAAGTCTATATCCAAATTCATATTTCTATGTAAATGACATAAAATTCACGTTAATTAACAAAATAATTTCAGTTGGTACAGTGGTTTAGGGGTATGCTAGCAACTTAGAACAGGCAAAATTCCAATTCTCTCTCTCTCTCTCTCTCTCTCTCTCTCTCTTTCTCTCTCTCTGGTTGTCTTCTCTAGATACATTGCTGTATGACCTTGGGTAGGTCAAATGACCTTCCAGATATACTATTTTATAGAGAATAATATCCCTGAATCAAATATTCGGGTTTCTCATGATACTTTGGGAAACTCCCACCACTTCCTTGTTTTCTAAAGAAGGTACATCCGTCATCCCATTGTCCCTGCTGATCTAGCAACAACTAAAGTGGAGGCATGGATTTTTCATTTCTTCATCAGGCCCACAGTAGTTTCATTTTCCATTAGCTTTTTTAAAGTAACTACCAGAAACATAAACAGTGCGTGCTTCAGTTATAATCAATGTAGCAGCCTGCAAATGAAACCAGAGCTAAAAAGGTATAATTCTCCCACTTAGGAAAAAGATTTTAACATTTTTCATTTCATTCTTGTTTTCTCAGATGTCATTGGAGGACAGAACTCTAATTTGTCTTCTCCACACTTGGACATAAGCATCAGATGGCCTTTCTCCGTTGGCTTCCTTGCCTGATGAGCAAGCCCTCCATTTCCTTCCTTGCCTGATGAGCAAGCCTTCCATTTCCACTTCCTAGTGTGGGGAAGCTGCTGAGCCGCTCTCAGTTTCAGCCTTCATCACTATGTCATATTAAAATCTGCCCATTTGCTGTATTGTCACAATTACTGAGAAAATAATTCCAGAGCATTCATTTGTGAAGCCTGGCACTTTTCTTTGGTTAAGCTTTTTTCGTATAATTCCTTTATGGTTCATTTTCCAAATACTACTGTGGGAGAAAGAGAGAGATTACAATGCTTGCAGCAGGAAAGGGCTTTCGAAAATCCTCAAAGACTAACCAGAGTAGTCCTGAAACTGACTGTGCTGGCATTGCTTAAAACTGGCAGCCACCACACAATTAAGAGTACAACTGGAATCCATAGTCTTCAAGCTCTGACAAAGTACACGGCCTCACCATACTTTCTTGAACTTGCCTTAAACCGAAGTTAATAGTATGTCCTATTTCACAATACCTGAAGATTGTAAAAGGAATGTGAGATAACAACTAATAATATCAAAACACTTCTTAAAGTTTAAAGTGCTTATGTCAAGAGACAAAATTACAACAGATTAAAAGATCCAGAAAGGATTTCATTCATGGTTCTAAAATTAGATGGCCCTGGAACTCTTTCAAAGAATTCTAACCAGAAAATAGTCAGGCATTGATTATGACTAGAAAAGGGAAATGATCTAGAGACAATTTAGTTGATTTTAGCTACGTGTTTTGCTTTCCTTGAGTCAGCTGGTCTCCTGCTATTGGTTAAAGGTGGGGAGCTGTTAACTGGCAAGTAGCTGTTTGATCAAATTCAAAGTCCTCAATTTGGTCGTCAGCTGTCTTGCTTTAAATGAGCCCATGGCTCTTTATGGAACTAACTTCTGAGGCATGCGATGGCTGGATGTAAGTTAATTTAACACCTTCAAGGAAATACGCCAAACTCAGACAAGAATAACGTGTGCTCCCCCTGACACACACACAATATAGGAGAGGGAAAAAGGAGTGGAAAGTAAAAGAACTAGGAGGAGCAGAAAAACGGAGAGGGGAACAACTGACGGTAATAAAGTAAGTATGATCACAGAAAGGTATGTACTAGTAGTGGAAAAGTCACAAACAAACCCACAGGTTTGTAAAATTAATACACGCTAATTTTTTTAAAGGTGAGGTTTCTCCTCAGCTGAATACATTTTGATGGGTCAGAGGGGCCTGTCTTTTAGTGGCTGTCCCTCTCCACAAGCCCCGGATGAAATCAGGCACTCCTGTGAAATTCCTTCAGGCGCCGCATCATTGCGGCGGACACTGGCCGCCACGGACAGCAAGCTGACCTTGAGCTACTTCACAGAAGAAAAACTGGGGCTGAGAGAAGTGAGGGACGCGAGGAAATACAAATACCTGGCCTATAGGGGAAACTGCCAACTAACAGCAAGCAACCCATCGCCCTCATTCTCGATACTACTCAAGGCTTGCGCAGCCTCCCAGAGGCGGGGTTACAAAGCCCCGCCCACAAACGCCCTGCCGCCTACGCCCCGCCTCCTCCTTGCACCCAGCCTGCACCGCTCCGAGCACACACTTCCGGATCGCCATTTCCGGCAAATTTCTCCAGCCAACGAGGTGGTCTCAGAGGCGGGCCATCGTCTCCTAGACCCCGCCCCCGCGCTCTGGAAACTTCAGGCGGCGGCGTGTGGCCTGGCGGCGCGTGGGGGCGTGATGGCTGCCTCGGGCAAGCTCGGCACTTTCCGTCTTCCCCCTCTGCCCACCATTCGGGAGATCATTAAGCTGTTCGGACTGCGAGCAATGAAGCAGCTCTCCCAGAACTTCCTGCTGGACTTGAGGCTGACAGGTGGTTGAGTCGTCAGCCCGCCCGGGTCTCCCCGGGGGGCGCGGGTGGGTGATGGGGCCGTCCGCGCCGCTGTCAGTCAGGAGCCTCTCTGACCGCCCGGAGCGCGCGGCTTCCCCGCGGGCCGAGGCGCCGCTCGCTGCTGGCTGGAGTTGCTTCCCGCGCGCTTTATGGTGAGCGGGACTTGAACGGGTACCGTTCTCCTCTTGACCGTGTCCCCAGTGTGCCCCTTAGCCTGGCGCGCCTGTAGTCTCAGCACTACAGGATAAGCGTTCACTTCTTCAGTCTAAGAATCCCCCTAGGGAATGGACATTCGCTCTAAATTCATGCTGAGCGCACAGTGCATGCAGCTACCTTATGCCAACACTGGGCCTATGATACTGGAGTAACAGCCTTGAGTTTTCAGTTTAGTAAGTTGACATCCTCGTGCCTCTTCAAAAGTAACTTGTATGTGGTAAAATTTATGTAGGGTGAAGGTCACCGGTTCAACACTGTTTTGATGAGTTTTCGCAGGTGTTTGATTTACTTACCACCCACGTGTTCGTGATGCACTCCAGAGAGAATAAGGTCCATCTGTTGTAAATAAGGGCACTAGTCAGTTCACTGTTGTAGTACTTAAGAGCTTAGCTCCTCTCCTTACCATAAATGGGGCAGTGTGCCACACCCCAAAAATCAATTTTCATTACATTATGCATGGACCAGTAAGCATAAATTAGTAGCTGTTTGTATGAAAGAAACAGGGCTTCTTTGTGTAGCCTTGGCTGTCCTGAGCTCGGTTTGTAGACCAGGCTGGCTTCAGAGATGGCCTACCTCTGCCTCCCCTAATGCTGGGATTAAAGGAGTGTGCCATCACCACCGGGCTTTAAATTAGTAGTTTTATTTCCTGAGTTTGGAGCCTTTATTCTGCCCATAGCAGTATTAATTTGGATAAAACACTTAACTCCACTAAGGTTTTCTCATCTTTCATTTGATAGAAGAAACTAAAGATCACCTACTTCTAGGTTCTTTGGTTCTAGCCATCTCTTGAGAACAAACAAAAGAAATTTATTCTAAGTACTACCATTTTGTTTTCAGACTCCATTTAATCATAGGAAGAAGCTAAATTCAAGGTCCTGGGCCCTAGGAGAGCTAGGACCATCCGATACAGCAGCTTCTGTTGTAAGGAAACAACTATGAGTCCAGATATCTCAGGAACAACTTGCAAGGAAACAGTTGTCTGAGTCCAAACACCTCAAGGACAACTTCTCCATCTTGCCGGCAGTGCCAAGCAAGCTCATGTTCCCAGGCCCAGGAACATACTCCTGACCTGATTGAGGGAAACTCCTTACTCAACCCCTGTGTCAAAATATGATTGGACAACGCTTCAGTCATTCTCCCCACCCACACTTCATGTTCCCATCCTTTTAAAGGGTTGTACAATCTTCCTTTGAGGATGTAGCTCAGCTCTCGAACTGGCCACCCCATAATCTCAGAAAATAAAACTTTCGTTTTATTTATATTTGAAGTGAGTTTTCGCAGTTTCCACCCCAAACCCAATACCATCCTCTCCCAGTCATTAGTACATACTAAATATAAAGCACTGTTCTGTGCTGAAATCGTTTGTTTTTAAGACAGTCTCCTTGTCTAAGGCTAGCCTCAAACTCGCTAGATAGCAGATGGTATTGAACTTCTGAGCCTCCTCCTTCACTTCCCAAGTGCTAAAATTACAAGCATGTGCCAGTGTGCCACTTAATGATTGCTGAGTATGGAACCCAGGGCTTCATGTGTGCTAGACAGGCACTCTTACATTGCCAGCCATTCTTTTTTTATTTACATTCTCCATTGTACATCCCTGTGAGTTCCAAATTCTTAGGTTCTTTATACACTCTTTTGTGGGAACCAGATGACAGGAAATAAAGGTAGTTTGGCAGGAGAGATTGAAAACCAAACTTAGGGGTTTGACACTGGCATCTTTGATATCTGATTGCATTTAAGTGTTCCTGTGAAGCTTAAGGATGAAACCACTAGCTGGAGAGATGGCTCAGAGTTTAAGAGTACTGGCTGCTCTTTCCAGAGGTCTTGAGATCAATTTCCAACCACCATATGGTGGCTCATGACCATCTCTAATGAGATTTGGTGCCCTCTTCTGGCTTGCAGTCATGCATGCAGGCAGAACACTTACTTTTCTTTAAAAAGAAAAAAGAAACCACTGTCCCACCTGTTGCTGCTTTCCATTTTTGAAATTGAGACTATTAAGTTCCTGATTTCCCTGATTAATAAATGATTCTTTTTCTATCAGAGAGATCAGTTGCCAACCTGGATTTGGTTTGAGAATCCACACCTTTGATGGAAGTCCTCTTGCTGCCATTTGCTTTTCTTCATGACGTGCACATTAAACAGACAAGGGCAGTGTGCAGTTCAGATAAATTATAATGGTAGTTGCAAGAATTAGGGAAAGACCACATACCAAGACATGCAGACAGTGGCTTAGAGGGTACTTAGTCCCCCTCTGGGACTATTCCATCCAGTGCTGTTTGCGGATGGGTAAGCAACATTTTGCCTTAAGATTACCTAGACTGATAATCAGTAACTATCAGCTGGGACTGGACAGTGCCAGAAAGTGCTAGTGTGCTTTCAATAGCAAAACTTCCAATGTCCAAGGAGGTCCAGTTGTGTGAAGTTTTAATATCTTGCAGTCAGTAAGACCAGTGTTTTTCCATAGCAGTGGTTAGTTGCAACGAACCATTAGGGTCTACATTTTTAATGTGATTTCTTAGGTTCTTCTAACTTAAAATAACTGAAGAGTTAGTAATTCCATTTTTAACATGGCTATTTGCAAGGCTTAAAATTTTAAATAAATCCAAACTTTTTTGAGAAATCAAGAATTAAAATTTTAGAGGCTAGTGATGTGGAAATTTATTGTGATTATCATTTTGACCTCCAACTAACTCCTCTTGGCATTTTTACCTGTGAAGATGGAAGAATTAATGGGAAAGCAGTCAGGTGTTTGATGTTCAAGGGTAAAATGTGCTGCACATTCATCTTTCTACATCTCAGAAACTGGTTGGTTAGGTAGAGAAACAGAAAATGCAGTATCAGTTAAATTTAAGTAAACTGTCAGGAGTCTCCTCCTTGCTTAAGGAGCTGGGGCAATACAGAAATGTGGACTGTGAATACTCTTAGGAGCCCTAAATAACCAAGAGTGGCTATTGAGACTTCTTAGGAAATTTGCCATGATAATGAAGATAACTAAAACTTCTGTGCCCCGCCCCCTTTTTTTAGACAAGATTGTAAGGAAAGCTGGCAGTCTAGCAGATGCTTATGTTTACGAAGTGGGCCCCGGGCCTGGGGGAATCACAAGATCCATTCTCAATGCCGATATTGCTGAACTTCTGGTGGTTGAAAAGGACACTCGCTTTATTCCAGGATTACAGGTGAGATACTTAAAGTGTCTTTTTTTTTTTTTTTTTTTTTTTAGCAAGCAAAAACCAAATGAAATCTTAGGCCATGATTCTAAAGTCCCCTTGTTGACCAAGGACTATGCAGTCGGTTTCTCAAACTGCAGCTCTCCAGGCCCTCTCCCAGAGTTAGGGTTCTGTCATCTAGAGAAGTCTAGAAAACTACATTGTTTACAGGAATCCCCCAGTGGTCTGATTTCAATAAAAGCACTTTACACATGGATGCTAAAGAAACTAATTATTTCTATGGTTTTATTCCTAAATTGTGCATATTATGGCTCAGTTTTTTAGAAAGGAATAAAAATAATTGTCAATAATGACCAATTGGCATGACTTTGGAGAACTTTCTTTGGATTCCACATACAAAACATGAAGATAAATGTTAGAGCCTCATCAAGAGGAATTAGTTGTTGAGTTTAAGCATTTTTACAAGAGAATTTTTATATATAAAGAAAAGTTGGATCAACTAGAACTGTACATGAATTTGAATGAAATTCTACATGCATTTTTTTGACACACAAGTGCTGTTGATGGAAAAAAAAATTGGGACATTTTATCTGAATTGTGAAAATGCTGGGGTGAGTGTCCTTGCAGTGTCTGTTTCTGATTGGCAGTAGAACCTAAGTTTGTTTTGATTATTCCAGGAGGAAAAAGGCAAAACACAACTGGAGAGTAAAGGACACAGGTTTGAGGTGAAATGAGGGAAATAGGGAGTTTTTAAAACATTGGCAAACGGCAGATGGATTGTATCAGAGATCGTAGACATAAATTCCTCATAAGAGGCACTTGATGACTGAATGGCCTTTTTTTTATTCCTGTGTAAGTGTAAAACTTCAAAAGAGCCTGAGCCTTAAGCCTGTATGAGTAGCAGTTTATTATGTGATTATAACAGAACAAACAGTAAAATTACTCCTATTTTTCCACTTTAAAAAAAAAAAAGCAAGTTGCATATGTTATAATAGTTTAAGAAAATTTGTTTTAAAATCTAGAATTTTGTGGCCACTTGACTTTAGAAACTTAGTGATTTTATATTTCTCATCTAGCTTCTTCTAGTTTTTATGTGTGAAATAATTGCATAATATTGAATTGTATCTAGTTTTGCCAGTCAGAATTCAGATTGCTAACTTAATTTTGGGAGTGATACATAACAAATGTTCCAGGAACAAATGTGATGCTTAATAGCAGCGTGAGGTGAGGTATTTTGTTTTGTTTTGCTTTGTTTACTTCAAGAGCCACATCCCAGTTGGCAGTGGAAGTAAGACTGTTATGGTTTGGGTGAGATTATCTGATGACAAAAAGAAACTGAAGACTGCTATGTTGTTCTTTTTGTTTATTCTTTTACCTCTTAGTGAACATAAGGAGCATTAACCTGACTTTCTCATCCTTCAGAGAGGCTTCTTAACTGTCAAATCTCCCCATCTGTGATACGCATCTTTCCCTTCAGTCAGAGGGTGAATAAAATCTCTGTTAATTCCCACAGTAACTTATATATTCCCCTGTTTGTTAAACTTTATAAAGATGTCTGAAGACCAACTATTACAAGAGCGACCACTACCCTTCTCTTCTAACTCTACACCATACCTGGAGTCCCATGTCCTAACTCTGCCTTGTTTTGTTAGAGTTATCATCACTGGACACGCTGTATCTATATTGCCCTTGTTTATTTGTTGTATGTGTTGCCCTTTAAAATGTAAGTGCCATAAGAATAAGATCTGGGGCTTTATTCCTCTATATCTCTACTAGAAATGACAGTGCTACAAAGCAGGCATTCAGTGTCTCATGTGGCAAATAAAACATCAACTGTTATGTATCATACTAAGTGTCATTTGATAGTAAAAATAAATAACATTGATTATCAAAAAGTTTTATACTGCCTTTTTCTAAATATCAAAACTGATTCAAGATAAATCGCAGGAAAAGTACCTTTGATTTTTTTTTTTTTTAAATCCATTTCTTAAGTAGCAAAATGAAATCTTAATGTCTTCCTTGTAGGAACTTGCCTTAAAAAGAAATGATGGATACTAAATTATCAAATAGGCTTCTTTTTCTTGTAAAGAATGTTTCAGTATGTAAAGCTATGCTCTATTAGATGTCCTGAATTAATCATAAAATTGAGTAAAAGCAGAAGTAGAGTGATCTATTTTAGGATTCCATTTAGTGATTTCTAAGCTAATAGAATTACTTTTTAAAGAAAGTATAATAATTTATAAGGTATCTTTTGGGTGAAAGTATGTCGTTTGTAGCTTAATTCAGTTGTTACAGCATAATCATGAGGCAGCTGTCAGGGGAGGGAGCACCTGGTGGTAGCGTGTGGTGTCCTTTTTATACGTTGCAAGGTGAGCAGATATGTCCGGTATGTGAAAGCTGCATAGGTGACTTTTATGGTAAGGGTCTTTCATGCACGCCTCCCGCTGCCAGGATTGACTCAGACTCTTACGACTTATGTGTTTCTATAGGTATTTTGCCTTAGTTTACTGATAGGATTGTTACTGGTTTTAGTGAATGCCTGACACTTGGTAATCATTCAGTGATTTTTTTTTTTTTTTTTTTTTAAACAGGGTTTCTCTGTGTAGCTCAGGCTGTTCTACAGCTCACTCTGTAGACCAGGCTGGCCTCGAACTCAAAGCTCTTCCTGAGTCAGCCTCCTGAGTGCCAGGATTAAAAGCATGCACTACCATGCTTGGCTTTATTGAATTTTTATTTAACATCAAGTTGATGTCCCCATGTCATGGGCACCTGTGGTGATTAGGAATTGATTAGGAATAGAAAGCTAATCAGCAGATTGCTTTCTATTACTGTTATAGTATACTGCTCAGGTTGTGTGTTTCTTTGTCATTACTTTGTGGTTGTTTTTTTGTTTGTTTTTGTTTTTGTGACTTCAGGGAATCTCTATTCCCTGAAGGGGAGTACTTGGGAGTAGGAGGCAGGTGGATCTCTGGCCCTTTTCTCCTCTTTTTTTTTTTTTTTTTTTTTTAGCATTGCATCTGACTGTAATGATTTCATATGTATTTTTTGGTTAATGCTGTATTTGTATTTCTTTCTCATAATAATTTTCACACATGCTGAGGTGTTTATCAGCTCTCTCTGTTGCTATATAATATTCCGTTGTGTGGATGTATGAGCTTTGTAGATAGTCACCTTTTGATAGACATTCTTAACATTTGCATAGCAAGCTATTTGAATATTAGCATGCAACTTTTTTGCTAAGTGCATGCTTTCATTTTTGTACAGTAAAGACCTAAGGGTAGACTCTCTGGGTCTGATATTCTGCCTGTGTTAATTCTTTTAAACAAAACCACCAAACTGCTAAGGCAGCTTATCTCATTCAAAGTTCAGTCATGTTTAAAAATAAAAATAAAAAGCAAACTAACAACTCAATTCTAACAACCAAATGATATTCACAGAGAATGAATGAGGTTATTTAAACCATGATTGGATTTTGATAATAGATGGAAACTAGAAATTAACTTGGGTGAGAATTCACAATTGATAAAATCTTCTGATCTTTTATGTACATTAATTTATTTGTACTTTCTCTTGGCATTGTTTTATAGTTCCTAGTGTGCACATTTTGCACATGCCAGATTTACCCTTGAGAATGTCATGTATTTTGATGCACTTGTACCTGATACTAGTTTTTATTTTACTTTCCATGGGCTATTGCTGTTGATTCCTTATATACTGACTTTGTATCCTGAGACTTTACTAAACTTATTTATTGGTGGCTGTTTTGTAGATTCCTTACTATTATTCGTCTAGAACCATGTCATCAAATAAAAACAGTTCTACCCCCTCCAGTCCAACCCTTTGCCTCAGTTTCTTTGTCTTACCATTGACCAGGAGCTTGAGTGCAGTGTTGAGTACGATAGTCAGAGCACACATCCTTGTCTTCACTGATCTGGGGAGAACATTCACTCTTTACTACTGTGATCTTGGGTTGGGTTTGTTTTGTTTTGCTTTTTGTTTGTTTGTTTTTTCTAGGTCTCCTTCTCTAACTGAGGAAAGTCTTTCCTGTTCCCAGTTTGCTAAGGAATGCTGTTTTCTGTTTTTGCAATCAATGACTATTGGATTTGGGGAGAAAAAAAGCTTTTCCTGGGGTTATTGAAATGTTTTTCTTTTGAATCTGTTAATATGGTGAATTGTATTTTTTTTTTAATGTTAGCCCAACCATATAGTAATGCTACCTCTCCTTTCTCTGACACAGGTCACTTATGTATACTTATTTATTTTTCTGATTGACCTGATTCTAGATTAGTTGACTTTATTGATTGCTAAAATACAGCTGTAATTTCTTTGGCTTTTCTGTTTTCAGCATTGTTGACTTCTGCACTGAAATCTCACTTTCTGTTTACCTTGGGTTTCATGTGTTGCTTTCTCTGTAGCTAGTGTAAAGGTGGTCACTAAGTCATTGACTTGAAGCATTTTCTCTTCTCTTGTACATTAATGCTATGAATTTCTGCATTGTCAGAAAACCACAAATTTTGGTGTTGTGTTTTCTCTTTAATTCCATTAAAAGTAACTTTTATTTTCTGTTTGTTTCGCTCAGTAACAACTATAATAGCTAATATTTATGAAGAGTTGACCACTGAGTACTTTGTTTTATAGCTGCTTTTGAGATACTAGAGATTGTGGGGTTGAAAAACCAGATAACTGGAATGCAAATCTGAGACCCCTTACTAGCCTTTGACCTCCAGTTTGCTATTGAAATTGTTCTAGCTTTGTCTTCCCTTCGGTACCATGAGAGTCATAGTTACCTTTAACCTGCTGGCCAGGAGACGGACGGTTGCCGTAGACATCTTTCCTGTCACTTCCCATATAAAAAGTCATTTTGAAATTGTGGTAGAAAGCTCTGCTTTTAATTATAAAGGTAATGAGATTTTTGTGATCCTTTTATCTGTAGTACAAAAGGAAGATTGCCTTTCTGTTACCTGTTTCAAACATGTAAGTTACCATAGTAAATCATAGGACAGAATTCCACAAGTAAGCAAAACCATTTACAACCAAAATGAGCTCTTAGACCACTGTGAATCAGAAGTATAAAGATAAGTGCAGAAGCAGGTCTATTGGAACAGCAGTTTCTAGGGGATAGAAAAGCTGCAAAAACCAAATGAAAAGTCATTCAGTAATAAGGGATCTGAAAGCCTTCATAACCCTTGGTCTAGTACCTCAAGTTATCAAGAAAAGGAAGAAACTGGTTTCTGTATTCTTGGCTTACCAAAGAGAATTGGGCAGTGTAGTTTATTAAGATTAACTTCTGCAAGTTCCTTTCTAGAGGATTGCTGACCCATGAAGGTCTGAGTAAGGAACCCGTGAACGCTGAGTAAGGAAATTTACTTACATCACACATTTCTCCAAGTCTTTGATGGGGTTGGGCAATGAACAACGCTGACTTTGAAGCCATAGTCGTCTTTAAAAAGAAGGTACTATAGCATCCACTTACGTTCCTTTTTAAGAGTAGCCTCTGTCCATTTTGAACATTTGTTTTAAACTCCTACTATATACCATATGGTTCTCCTTTAGATTTTTGCCTAGATCTTCTGCTAGTATTTATTTCAGCAGTATTTGGGCTCTATTATATGAAAAATTAGGAAAAAGGTAATTAATGCTTAGCTCATACATGTTTACTGCTATGAACTGCTTACTGTGAGAAGGCAGCATGAAGAAGCACACTAAAAAGCTCATTGGTAGAGTTCTTTTTGTTCTCAAGGAAATTTTAATTTCTGTCTGAGTTCCAGGAATTGCATGAAATTTTTCTCATCAAATTAAGTTGCCAAAAAGCCACCTAGGTAGATTATAGTTACAGCTGCAGAAATACTTTCACAGGAGCTTGGACTTACTAGGAAAAGAATGCCTCTGCATATGTTATCTGACCTTTATTAAAGGCATGACCATTATATTATTTCATGTATCTTCTAAAATCTAATACAAGAAGAACATTTTCTCTCTTTAGGAATTGTTATAATTACTTCTAACCCAGAGTAAAATTACATATGCCATAATGCAAGCCAAGAGCTAACAGTTCTTCTGATAGTGTAGGTAGCAGTCATTTTTACATGTATGCTTCTACTTTTTATGCTATAGTTTTCTACCTTTTTTAGCCTTATTGAACATATTTTACTCAAAGCCGTTTTACATTGCATTTTAGAAGAATATATTGGGGCTGGAGAGATGGCTCAGCAGTTAAGAGCACTGACTGCTCTTCCAGAGGTCCTGAGTTCAGTTCCCAGCAACCACTTGGTAGCTCACAACCATCTTCTGGCATGTAGATGTACATGCAGATAAAGCATACATATACATTAAATAAATAAAATTTTAAAAAGAAGAATATATTGAAAACTAACATTAAAATAATACAACAGCATGAGAGTGGCTATGAAGATACCTGTTAGTGTGGTGGGCTGTGCTCTGAACCCATCATATGGCATCTCCAATTTGAAGGGTTGTTCTGGAAGTGTAAAGAGTGTTTCTATTACTGCACAGTAGCAGGATCTGATGAAAACATTTTTTTTCCCTTATTTCTGTTTGGAAAGGGAATCTGTATGTGCTATTGCTGGGTATCGTTTTAGGTGTTTAAAAGGTTGTTTTTCTATAATCAAATGTCAGTTCAGTTGGTTGGCACCGCCCACCACCACCACCACCCCATAATTGCCTCAGGCTTCACACTAGCTCATTCCTCCTGCAGTGACTAGTTGACTAAGGGGAGCTAAGGCTACACAGTTGTCAAGAAGAAAACAGGCCATCTACCAAATGGATTGGGTTGGTCTTGACTGAGTGTTAAACCTGAATGGGAGTCCTAAAGAAATCAAATAGAAAAGCAACTTCGTACTAAGTAAGGGAAGCATACTACTATTTTTGTCAGCTTTTAGTATGCAGTTGTGTATGGGAAAGTATGGAAAAATTAACATTTCAAACAGTTATCAGAGCATTTAAATTAACACGAAAGACGCAGGTTTACATTGTTTTGCTTTAGTTCTAATTACTAATTATTTAATTACTTTTTATATATTGACATTGTATAACAGAAGCTTTTAGTTCTGCCTCTTTGTTTTTGATATGCTAATTTGTTTTGCTTTAATTATGTGAAGCATAATTGCAGAAAAAACTTAGTTCTCTTCATTATTGGTAAATGTTTTCATTAAATTCACTGTTTAAACAGTTATCAAGCATCCCATAAGAGTTCTCTCAGTTTTTAGTATCTTGAAATTACTGTGTTCTAAAGCATATTATCTGAAACTGATTGGGTTAAATGCTAGCAAACCATGATGGTTTAAAATAATCTTATTTTAATATATATTAATATAATAAATTAACATGTGAATGTCAGATGTATGAAATTATTTTGATAATCATTACTAACCATATCAGATTAACTGATAAAATTTAAAATGTTCACCCTCTTACTAATACAGACATTTCAGCTATGTACTTCAAAATATTATTTTGTATAATCTTGCCTCATTTTTAACTTAGATAAATCTTTGCAAATTCCTCTACCTCACAACTTTTGGGAACCAGCTTCTACAGTATTTTTCAACTTCATGAAAAGCTGAATGCTTTTTAGTAGTCCACATACTCTTGCTTATTAAATGCATGCTAAAACACCTGCTGTGCACTGCTATCGCTGTGGACACTATTAAGTAGGCAAGAAACAGATCTTCCCTAAAGAAACACAGTTGTCAAAGAGAAAGGCACCGGCCATAGCATGTTACAAGTGCTGTCAAGCACTATAGGCAAGGCACAGTGTGAGCAGGGCAGAAACAATCAATTGGTAGCCCGCCTCCTTGGGTCTCCTCTGTGACACAGGGTAAACACAGCAGGGAGATCAGTCAACAAGTTGTGGGCCTTGCTTCAGGGTCTGCCCTTGGGGTTCTGTGAGAGGCCTCTTTCAGTCTTCCTATCGGTTGTTTGAAATGGAAAAAAAGGAGTGTTAGGGGGACAGCAGCTTTAATGACATGAAGGAAGAACAAATAGATACAATTCTCCGTGAATTGTTGATCATCCCTATGTAGCCCTATGCTATCCCTCAAATCTCAGCACCTGAGTTTGAACTAGATACTCTGAGCAGCTAAACTAAGACAGTATGGGAAGTCTGTTTCTGCAGCAGTGCTTCTCACTGTATTGATCCTGCTTTTTAAGCATGGTAAGTGGAGAGACTGTGTGGCTTTTATTTTACCAAGGATACCAAGGAGACAGTTTTGTATTGGATGCAGAAGGACTTCATAAGCAGTTTGGCACAATCCTGGGGCTCATTTAAGGCAAAGGCCAGCTTTTAGAAGGTGATGCTAAGAATTGATGCTAAGGAGAAAAAGCTCAAGTACAAAGAAGAGATTTGTTGTTGTTTAATTTGGTTTTGTGGGGCTGGGGTGGAACACACAGATTTGCATATGCTGACAAGTATTCTACCACTGAGCAAAGTCCTAAGTTCTTATTGTTGTGTTTTATGCTAAGAAGGATTGAAGGGGAAAAAAAAAAATATGACCAGAAATACAAATAGGCTGAGAGGTAACTGCTGTGAAAACATGTGGGATTATTCTTAGCTTGACAGCAATTGTGATTCAGGAAAATAAGGATGCCAGGGTCAAGGTATATGTCTCAAAATGCCATGTGCTGCATGGCCCGGCAAGGGACTTTCTACTTAGTTTGGATTTACTCAAAAATTACATTAAAAGTTTTGGTTGTATTCGGAATCTTTTTTGTAAATTTAATGTATACAGGCTTAGTTGAATTAGCTCATCTTCATCTACTTTACTCTGAGCCTTCAATATTTCAGTAAAAGGTTTCTTCTAGAAGTTGAAAGTTATGGTAAGTTGCATGCAGCAACACAGGTCATTCTGACTGTCTAAATTAGACTAATATGCTATTTGTTAAATCCTAAACTATCACCGTTCTCTATTACTGTACCTAACCCCTCTTTGTGTTAAACAGAAACACAATGGGTTCATTTTTCATTGGCCATTGTTTCATGTCAGTTATCAGTGATTACACGTAGTGTTTAGCTTTTCCCACCAATTAAGTGCTATGTAGGGTTAAGATTTTTAGTTTTGCTGCTCTGAAGTTTATGAGCTCATTTTATTAACCTTTTGTAAAGCAGATGCTTTCTGATGCAGCACCTGGAAAGCTGAGAATTGTTCATGGAGATGTGCTGACATATAAAATAGAAAAGGCTTTTCCAGACAGGGTTCGGAGACAGTGGGAAGACGGTAAGTGCCTTTGATTTGGGAAGAGGGGTTGTTTGCTGTTTGGGTTTTTGTTTGTTTGTTTGTTGTGTGTGTGTGTGTATTTTGGTTTTCATCATTCATATCACAAATAATTGTTTCAGCTGTTGCATATCTATTATAATAAAGTGCTTGCTTTTATGTATTTCTATTAAAATTATCTGAACAGAGTTAAATAATGTGCATTGTAATTTTTTTATGCTTTCCTTCTTCCAAATGTTAGTTTTTTTTATTTTTTTATTTTTATTTTTTTAAGACAGGCTCTCACACTGTAGCCAAGGGTGACCCAGGACTCCTCACGTGGCCTAGGCTGATCTTGAACTTAAAAACCCTTGTGCCTTAACCTCTCAAGTGCTGGAATTGCAGGTGTGCACTACCATACCTGGTTTAGCTTTCCCTAATTTTAGTTTCCTTGTCTCATATCTTCAAGTTTTAGTTTCCATGCAAACAAACTTTATATTTTTATGATGCTATACAAAGTATTGTTACTATGTTGCAAACCAGGCCACCCACAGACCTTTATCTCCTTGTTCTTTGCCTTCATAGTGACTCTGACCAGCCAAGGCACTCTTACTTCAAGGACAGACATTTACTGGATACCTGCAATGTCCAGCTCCTAGGAAATCAAATAATGTAGGGCATATGGATCGCTAACAGAAACTCTCAGAATAAGCCACTCCTGTATCTTGGGCCTCCCCTGGGTCAGGCTCCTTCAGAGTAGCTTGTGTTTATAGTCTCCGCCTTCAAACTGAGCTCTCGGCACAGAGCCTGCAGTTCTGTCACTGGCCTGGCCCTGTTAGGGTCACAGTCGCTTGTCTGGGCCGTCCCTTTGGTTGTCGTCTATCGCCTTCAAGATGCTGTGCACCATCTTCCCATTATCAGCTCCACCATTCTCCTTGGCGCTTAGGAACGTACTCTTTTTCTTTTTTTTTTGCCAGTGCTTTGGAGGTTTGGTGTTTTGTTTGTAGTTTTTTGTTTTATTCTATTTTTTAACTCATTTCTTGTTTTATTCTGAGATTTTCTTTTTTGGCATCTTCTCATGTAAGGATTTGCATAGATTATTCGATCCCTGTGGTTTTATTTTCCATGTAAATATTTCAGACATTCAAATCTTAGGCCCAGCTTGTGTCCCCTCCTGGGCATCTGATGACCTGACAACCCATGGGTACTTTAACTCATATGTTTAAAGAAAATACCTTTTTCTTCAAAACACCTCATTTGGTAAACTTTCTTAGAACTTTTTCCTCAATAAATACAAAGCTAACTGTGAAAAAATGCATTTTAAGAGAAATGAAAAATACTAAGTTGTATCTTTCCATATGCCTTCATTTGATTCTCATAATATCTAATATATTTTATACTAAATTAAGATCATATTCAGAATATAATCTTGTACTCATTCCAAATTGTCTTCCTATCCCTACCAAACAGATCCTCCAAATGTACATATTATTGGAAATCTGCCTTTTAGTGTTTCAACTCCTCTGATTATCAAGTGGCTTGAAAATGTTTCTCTTAAAGATGGACCTTTTGTTTATGGGAGAACTAAGATGACGTTAACATTTCAAAAGGAGGTGGCTGAAGTAAGTCTTTTCTTTTTCTGGACATTTCATTGTCTGATCAAATTCCCAAACAAAATACTACTTTATATTTACCAATGTGTTTTCTAGCTAATACTTTTCCATTACAGACAGAAAAACCAACAAAAACTCATTGAAAAGTTAAGACGTAATGAAGATAACAGATATGCCTACTAGAATCTCCCATTGGAAACTATGAGTTATACTTGTCAGCCAAGGAAGGCAGTGTGGTCAGCACAAGGCCTACACTGCCATAGATAAAGTCCAGGAAAAATGAAACGTGCATGATGTTGGCCATCTTAAAACTGATCCTCTGCAGTCTTCAGGGTGATACTTAAAAGACAAGATAAATTTGATATTGAAAGAGAATCTCATTATCCAATACATAGAATGTTACTTGATCTTCACCCCAACACACACACCCCTCTCTGTGGTGCCTGCTCAGCCTGTATCCCATGGCCTAAGTATTCTAAGTTTACAAAGTGAACCTCCAGGGTGAACAAGGTCAGCTCTCAAGATTCAACAGAAAGGCGCAGCGTAAGAAGATCTGCATCCCATAACCTCACCTCACTCTAATTGCATATCCCTCTGCTCCCTAATACCAAGGTAATAAGGACTCAGTTTTGGATTGTTCCCTTCCATAGTCTTGCTACATAGATTTGTATCCACTCATGTCATATACTTCAGGTTTGTATACTCTTAAGCTTTATTTAAAAGCAATCATACAATGTGTGTGTACATTGTAAACAACTTAGTAGATACACACATATGCTCATAGTTATAATTTATTTACATAGCTCTATATCCTGCCCACTCTTTCACTATTGTAATCTGTGCAGTCTCATAGTTGAGGACCCAAGATTCATTTCAGTTCTTTAATATTATGAACATAACTGTTACGAGAATCCTTAGACTCAAGGGCAAACTTTGGATATGTGCCCAGAAGAAGTGGAAACGCAAGCTTCATTCTTGTTAGGTAATGCTAACCTATTTTCTGAAGTCATCAGGTCTTTATATTTCTGCCCAGTATGTACATGAGTTCATTTTGCTCCATGTTCTTGCCAGTTCCAGTTATTACTAGAGTTACACTTTTATTATCTAGAGGTATGATGTGTTGTACTATATTTTGTCTTTGCTGAATTTGGAAGACGTGGAGTACCATAGTATCTTTGGGTCACTTGAGTATTTTGCATTGAACTGCTTGCCCTGGCTGATCTTTCTGTTGGATTATCTTCTGTTTGCTGGTTTGAAGTTACTAACATTCTCTGTACTAGTTCCTTATTAGTGCAATGTACTGCAGATTACCTATCTCTATGCTCATATTATCATTGTGTTTTTACAGGGTCTTTTGAGAATCAGACTTTTATTTTTTTTTTTTTTTACTACTGTACATTAATTATACAAAATAATGGGCTTTGTTAATGACACTTTCACACACATATATAATGGATTTTGATTCTGTTTATACACAGACATGCCCCATTACCCTCTCATTCTCCATCCTTCTTCTGGTCTCCTTGAAGATCAGACAGTCTCCATTTTTTTTAATTTACTGATTTTTTATTTTATGTACATGGTGTTTCACCTGCATGTTCATCTGTGTGAGGGTGTTGGATACCCTGGAACAGGAGTTACAGACAGTTGTGGGCTGTCATGTGGGTGCTGGGAATTGAACAGGGTCTTCTGGAAGAGCAGCCAGTGCTCGTTACTGCTAAGCCATCTCTCCAACCCCCGACATTCTCCATTTTTTACTTTTGGTGTTTCATATCTTACTTGAGAAATCATTTTTAATGTCTTGAGATCATGAAGGTTTCTTTCTGTTCACTTTTCTATTCATAATCTACTTGGGATTGATTTTTGTGTACAGTAAAAGTAAGTTATGTTTTACTGTTGTTGGCACATAAATCGCAGCCCATTTATTACCATCTGCCCGTCAACTGGTCTCTTACGAGTTGCTCCCTGCAAACACCCACATAGGCACTGCTCTGATTACAGGCGCTGGGGAAATGATGAGATGTCCCAGCAGCAGCAGGCTGTGTGGGACAGAGGGGGAAGTTCTCAGGAAGACCCTCAGATCAGATCAGTTAAGACAGATGAATTTGACCAAACAACTGTTATGTTTACATGTATTGAAGAAATAGTTACACAAGTTTAGGAAAGTTTAAGACTGAATTACTGGTAAATGGGTAAGGTATCAAGTACAGAGGTGAAGCAGTAAAAGATAATACTTGGAAGGAGAGGACGCAGCTTAGTGGTTAGAGCGCTAGTTGTAATTACACCATATTGGTGGATTTGTTTTCCTCTGCTAGTGGGTCACTTGATATTTCTGTACTTGAACTACACCATAAAAATTCAAAACATTGAGCTCTTAATTCTTTGAGGAAAGAGCAGAGGAGCAGAGGCTGAAGTACTGGAGTCATATTTTCAGTGACTCAGCTGGCAGCTGTGGTTTTTAATGATAGTGTTTTGACTTCACCATAGGCAATTATTTTTCTTCAACAAAGGTTTATTTTAGTTGGACTTTTGCATGAATATTGAGTTCATATCAAGTCTATAATTTATGGAATGCATTAGAACTATGGGTAACTTTTGACTTTCTTATTTTTGTTGGTGAAAGTTTCGAGGGAAGATGGGGTAGGGGTATTGTCTAATGTATACTGTTTACTTGGAAACATAGTCATGAGTGTAGTCGTCTGTACTTCAGTCACAGAATGTACTTTTTAACCTCAACTTCGTTGTGAACTATAAAACAGAAACAAATAAGCGTCCTCCTCTTACTCCTCTCTCTCGGACTGTAGGACCTAAATGGAAGGATTTGGCCTAGGTGCGGCCATGTAAAAGGCCTCACAGCTCAGAAAATGAGTCAGACTGTGTGGTAGTAGTTGAGCGCTTAACACGTCGCATCTAACCTCTCTGTATAGTTAACTGGCTTAGAGGGCTTTATTGTCTTCCACGGGTTGTAGAGTACGTGAACTTAAACAGTTTCCCTGTTTTCAGTAGTCATGAGATTCAAGTTCTCCATTTGGCTAGACCTATCAGTTTTTAAAGCTGGTCCAACATCAACCTCTCTGTCTTCTACCATTTCCAGGAGACTTTAGCTGGTCTTACTCATCCCTCTTTTATGTCACCCCTCTATTATCATCATAATGTTCATTAGAATGTCTCTTGTTGGAAACTGTATAGCTTTTCAAGTACAAGTATAATTTTCATACTTACAGTTTTTTTTTTTTTTTTAGATGAATAACAGAAACAGACTAAAGTAAATACTGTCCTTGGGACTTCTTTCATGCCTTGTTTTTAAATCCTTAGAGTGATTTTTAAAACTTAAGGATTAGTGGTTTCCTTTTACTGAAAAATTAACTCATTTGGTGTCCTGGTCTTTTATTGTTAAAAATCAATTGAGCCTCCACCATCCTAGGTGTTCAGCTTCTGCCATAGATGCCTCAACCCCAATTTCCCTTCTTTTTGCTGGTCCACTTGCACCCATTCCTGCTCTCCTTAAATCTAATTTCCCGTCCCCTTCTACTCCACCCCCTCTCTCACCCAGTTCCCTCTCTTCCTCCACTTCCAATGTCTAATATTTCCCCTTCTTGGTATACAATTCAAGCCTCCTCCCTTGAGCCCTCCTTGTTACTTACCTTCTTTGGGTCTGTGGGTTGTAGCTTGGTTTTCTTATACTATATGATTTATATCCACTTATGAGTGAGTACATGTGTGTCTTTGGGGCTGGGTTACTTCACTGTGGATGGATATTTTCTGGTTCCGTCATTTGCCTGAAATTTTCATGATGTCTTTGTTTATAAAAGCTAAGTAGTATTTCATTGTGTAAATATATCAAAGTTTCTTTATATATTCTTCAGTTGAGGGAAATCTTGGTTGTTCCAGTTTCTGGCTATTACAAATACAGCTTCTATGAACATAGTTGAGCAAATGTCCTTGTAGTTTGGTGAAGCATATTTTGGATATATGCCCAGGAGTGGTATAGCTGTGTTTTGAGGTAGAACTATTCCCAGTTTTCTGAGAAACTGCCAGATTGATTTCCAAAGGGCTTGTACAAGTTTGCACTTCCACCAACAATGGAGAAGTGTTCCCTTTGTTCCACGTCTTTACCAACATGTGCTGTCACTTGAGTTTTTGGCCTTAGCCATTCTGACAGGTGTAAGATGGAAACTCAGAGTCCTTATTTGCATTTGCCTGATGACTAAGGATATCCTAGCAGTGGGGTATACCAAGACTGAAGGGGCCACATCCTGTAGCCAGGCAAGGCTTCAGTGGAGGGAGGGGCACACCAACCCACCCCCAAAACCATCCACTCAAAATTTCTCCTGCCTACAAGATGTGGATAAAAGATGGAGAATGAGGGAAAGGCCAACCAATGAATGGCCCAACTTGAGACCCACCGCTTGGGAGAGATACAGCCCTTGACAGTATCAATGAGACTCTGCTATGTTTGTAGACAGGAACCTAACATAACTGTCTTCTGAGAGGCTTCAGCTAGCAGATAATGGAAACAAAGGCAAAGACCCACAGCCAAACATTAGGGTGGGACTCACAAAGTCTTGTGGAAGAGTTAGGGGAAGGATTGAGGGAGCTAGAGAGGTTAAGGACACCACAAGAAGACCTACATAGCCAACTGACGTGGACCCATGGGGGCTCATAGAGACTGAACCACCAACCAAAGAACATGCACAGACTGGTGCTAGGCCCCTACATATATGAAGTTGATGGGATACTTGGTCCTCAAGTGGGTCCCCTAACAATTAGAGTGGGGTTTGTGTCTTACTTGGACTCTGTTGCTTCCCTCTGGATCCCGTATCCTTAGCAGGGCTGCCTTGTCTTGCCTCAGTGAAAGAGGAGGCACTTAGTCCTAATGCCAGTTGATTTGCCAGGGTGGGTTGGTATGGGGGAGGGGGAAGGGAAAAGTAGGTGGGAGGATGGCACTGGGAGGAAAACAGGGAATGGGTTTGTGATAAGGATGTAAAATGAACAAATAAATTAATGAAAAAAATCATCCTTTGATTGATTTTTGTGTTTCTAGCCTTACCTATGCTGTATTTAACAAAAAAAAAAAAAAAATGTAATACATATTTAATGGTTAATAGGCCATTAAAGTCTCAGGGTAGCTTTTAGTGTAAAATCTTCTCAGGCTTCCTGGATGTTTACTTGAGTTTTTTGCTCAATGGATTAGCAGTTCTGTGTGCTGCTGTATTCTGATTAAAGTCTAAGGCTTGTATTTTCATCTCCACAACCTGGCATATTTGCTATGGAGATTGAAGAGATCTAGATCATGGATTAGGACACCTCCCATCTAGATTATGGATTAGAACACCCCCATTAGTTGTTGTATGTCGATGAAGTAAGAAAATCTAACAGCAACTGCTTTAAAATGGCTGATGATGTCCTCCCATGTGCCTGACTTCAGACTTTTCAACATATTACCAGTATTTGTGATCTTGGTCCTAAGCCAAGGAGAGTTTGGAAATGTTCTTAAAGCCCAAGCACACAGAAACATGATCCATTTTAGAAAGATGAATAATCTCAGTCTTGCCCGTTTTTAAAAGATTTTCTACCCAGAAAGTCAAATTATATATATATATGTTTGGAGCCCTACATTTTGAACCATGCTAAAGTAGTAGTTGTCATTCCTACGCATTGTAGGTGTATATGTAGGCACACACAGAAATCCTAAGGTTTTTATGTAAACACCAACAGACCATGCTTGCTTTTGCCACTTTATGATCTATATTCTATTGGGAGGTGTAACCTGTGCCAGTAATCCCTGGTACTCATTTTAATGGTTACTTCATATTCCTTTGGCAAAATTATTAGCCATTCACATGTTAGTGGAATTATACTGTTTCACTTTGGGGATAATGTATATATTCTTGTGTTAAGTATATATGCTGTGAAACTTCAGCTTTTATTGCCAAATTATTGTCTAACATGCTTATATATCAATTTCTGCCCTTTCTGTTTCACTGTTGTGCATAGAATCTCTGTAGCTTCTAATACTTTACATTCTTGACTAGTTCTTTTTAATATACCTTTTGAGTGTGAAATTATGGATTGTTGTGGTTTTAATTTGTACATCTCTTCTTTGTTATAAGTGCAACATAGTTAATTGTTATAACTCATTTATTTGTTCTGCTGTGATTTTCCTTATCAATCTTATAGTTGCTTATCTTATGGTTATTAATGCCTAGTATGTAGGCATCTCATTTGTATTGTGAATACTAATGCTTTGACCCTCTAAATACATTCTTAAGCTATGAAATATCTTGATAGTGTTTTGATTGGACACAATAATTTTAACAGAAAAATATATACATCTTTTGTAGCTTCTGCTCTTGCATCTTTAAAACATTTTTTTCCACTTTGAAGTCATATATACTACTTTCAAAAGACTTAAATTTTATTTTCATTCATTATTAATTCCTTTACAGTTTGTCTTTTGTTTTGGTACAAAGTTGGGGGCCTTCTTTTTCCTCTTATAAGTGCTTAATTACACCTATACCACTTAATGAATAGTCTGTCCTTATCTTTTGTTTAGAGATTCACATCTCTCATGTATCAGATAGCCACATGTGCTTGGGTCTGTGTCTAAGACTTTTGCCCTAGTGGGCTGTTCATGTTTGTAGCAGTAGTGCCGTATCTATGATATCAGGTAAGGTGAGTCTCCCATGAGCATTGTTAGTATTAGTCAGGAGTGTCTTGGACATTCTTAATACTATATAATTTTTATCTGAAGTTTAATTTTACATATACATAGAAATTGAAGTTCTCTTTAGAAATCTGGTTGAGATTTTGATGCAAATTGCATTTATTTATCAATTTGTTATATACTTTAGTTCATTTTAAAATAAGTATTTGGTTTAAAAGAAAAAGACCTAATTTTTTGCATAAATTATTTTGTCAAGAACAGCCTGTATTTCAAAGGCTCTTGAATATTCAAGGTTTTGTTATATTTAAGGAAATGCCTTTAAATTATCTTTATAGTTCTTTGTTATTTGCTAATTTCTTCATAAAATGTTCATTGACTAGTTGCTTTGCACATGACTTTCTATTATAGAATATAATAGTGGCTTGGAAATCTCCGACACTAGTAGTTTGCCTATGTGACTTTTTTCAGTGCTTTATACATGATATATGACTTTCTGTTATAGAAAATAATAGTGGCTTGAAAGTCTCTGACAGTCACTAGTAGCTTGCCTGTGATTTTTTTTTTTTTTTTTAGTACATTACACCTGATAAAATTGATACTTCTACAGTATGTCTTGGCTAATAATAATGTTTGTTTCCTAAGTCCACATGTTTTATGTCAGATAGCATGGAAGTGTGTGTGTGTGTGTGTGTGTAAAATATAATTTGTCATTAAAAATTTTGGCTCCTTTCTGTCTACTCAGATGGGATTAACTATTTGCTTAACTTTTGGTCTTTTGTAGAGACTTGTAGCCACTACAGGAAGCAAACAGCGTAGTCGTCTTTCCATTATGGCCCAGCACCTCTGCAATGTTAAACACCTCTTTACAATTCCAGGAAAAGCTTTTGTTCCCAAACCAGAGGTAAGTATTTGCTTCTTTATGTTAGTATATGAGTGTGAATTTCTTCACTGAAGATACTTCATAGAAAATGATCTCTAAGATCTAAAAGTTAATGTGCAGATTATATCATAACTGTTTTTCTTTTACTTCTCTTGAATAAGAACTGCAAAAAAAATCACATCTTTTGGTTTTAGTTGTGTGTGTGTGTGTCTGTCTTATCTTTACACACACACACACACACACGCTTGTGAGGACCTACATCTCATAGTGTGAATGTGGAGGTCAAAGGACAACTTTGTGGAGTGGGTTCTTTTTTCACCTTTAAGTGGTGGCCATGCTTGGGCCTTTACCCACTGAGCCATCCCACCAGCCCCACAACAGTTTCTTACTTAAAGAGCTCTTACTGCAGCTGTTCTCTTCCCTTCAATCAGGTGATAAGATGTCAAGGTTTATATGGTAGCAGCAGTCACCATCACTATCATCACTGCCTTCTACTCTTAAAGTGTCCTATTAATGCAAGTTAAGGTACATGGTCAACAGTCCTTAAGAAAGTAAGTGAAATATTTTTGTGGTTTCTGAGAGAGATTGAACCAAACTAGACATTTATTTATTGTAAATATTTTTGGCAACATTTTTAATCTGGTGTGTATTTTAGCAAAATTCACTATTTGATAGGTTATTAAAGAATATAAAGCCTGCAACATCAGCACCAACTGGGACAAGTATCCAGTACACAGAACATGGGGCATAAATTATGTCCAGATCACAGCTGTGCATTTGTGTGCATGTATCTATGTGTATATGTGCACATACATGCATAAGTGGTCATTAAGTTAAAGTTAAGCATGATTTTAAAAAATATTTTGGCTTTTATAGTGTTAATAAGTTAAACCATAATTTGTTAAAACTCAACTACTGATAATGAACCAGACAGTCTTTTGCTGCAAGGCTCGCCCTGTGCATTGTTCACAGCATTCCTGACCACTTCCCACTGGATTCCAGAACCATTGTCTCAGTTGTGACAACCCAGAATGTCTTCAGGCACTGTTACATGTGCCTTGTATGCTAACCTCACCCCATTGAAAACCAGGGGAGAGAAGGAAAAGCTGCCTGTGCCTTGAATACTTCCTGTATAGCATTTCCTTCAGTCTTCACTCTGCTGTGCCAATGGCTCACTTCCCTGTCAGTATTTCCAGTCCATAAAGAAGTGACCTTTATTTGGTATAAAGCAGCTGCTGCTTGAGTTTTCAGACATTCCTGTGTCTTCTTTTTAAGAAGAAAGTATCTGAGGTAAATAAAGTATCACCTTGACTATATTAAATGACATTTTACATAGTATTCTGGGCCACACAGACTATCTAAATCCTGATCCATTAAGTAAAATGAGTAAACAGTACGGGGATCAAAGCAGGCCAGTCACACTATTTGCTTATAGATCTTTATTGGGAATCTTAAGATAAAGTTTTGTTTCTCTAGGAAGTATTTGACTACCAACAAGGAACTATATTTTAAGTAATCATTAAAACTTCTAGTGAAATGGTCCCCTTTGTTCTTTTATGAAGTAGCACCTTTTTATTTTTGCTGTCCTATTCTAACATAACCGTTATAGAGCATGAAGATGTATTAACGTATTTTTCTCTTTTCTGTATACACAAGTGAAAATTACTCATATAAACACTCTTCTCACTTAAGTTATTAGTGTGCAATCTTTTTTCTTTCAGCAGCTGAATTACGAACAATTAGTAAGCATAAATTAGCAAATAAATAGATTACAGGAAGAACTACAGTGTTTCTTTGCACCTATGAAAAGTCCAAATTTTTGTTAGAATCTTTGAATTACATGTCATAATTTATATGCATGTTTTAAAAACATTCTTTATACTTTAAAACTTATTTTACTTCTGTTAATTAGCTGAAGATGCTCATTTATAAGAGAATAGTGCTTTTGTTAAATTTGAGGAAAAAAGTATGACTTACAAGTAACTAAGCTGAGCATCGTAGAACATATCTATAAGACCTTCCGCCCCCCCCCAAAAAAAAAAAACACGAAGTCTCAAAAGAAAAAAAAAGTAACTTAGTCAAATAATAATAAATGTGAGATTCATTGAGATGGGGTAAATCTAAATAATTGGAGAAATGCACTTAACTGTTGTTCTAAGTGCAGAATAGAGGGCCGTCCTGGGCTAATTTAAAGCTCTCAGGGCTCTTGGTACCTGACTTGTACTAAAAAAGTACCATATTTTAGTTTGTGTTTATATTTGGCTTTTTTGTGCTGCTACTGTAGCATCTACCAGTTCATTAATTCTATCTAATCTTAGTTTGCAGATATTATCTAGAACATATGAAAAATTAGGATGGAAGTTGGGACTTAGGGCAGATGGCTTGGGCAATGCCTGTGTGAGTTCATTTCCTCTGTTTCTGGGGTCTCCTCCACATCCGTGGCTTTAAAACAGAAGCAGGTTACTCAGACATCGCCTACCAGAGGACAAAAATAGACGGTACTCTTGATTATCATCCCTTGGTGATGGTGTTGATCAAGAATATTTTTGAACTTTGTAATTAAGAAAAAACTAATCTAAAAGATATATCAAAAAGTTATCTTTAAAAGTAAATTAATGGTGTCACCCATTGCTTTATTAATATAGTCAGACTCTCTATTACATATTTTTAAATAAAATATGAATACAATAATGGGAAAATAAAGAAATTGAAGACGTATAATTGTATGTGGTAGTTTGTTGGCATTTTAAAGTACCTCATATTTTTTTTAAATATTTTGTACTCTTTGTACAAGAAGTTAAGCATAAGTGTGGTTTCTTTTCTTCATTCTAATGAAGTTTCAGCAGTCTCCCAGAAGCCTCACTGCATATTCATTGCACAGCCCTTTACACGTAATCCTTTAGGTTGTGTGCTAACCTGTTCTTTGGCTGCCAGGTAGAGGTATATTTCTGTTTGGGAGGATAGATCCATGGTTCTGGGTTCCTTTTTATATAAGAAATGCAGAAAATAATACCAGAGATAAGTAGTAGCATTGCCGAAATGAACCCAATATAGACGGCTCCTCCAGGTTCGTATTTGTTGCTTTCTGGAACAGTCAGATCTAGAAAGTTTACTATGATCTCCTTGGTGTACCACACTGTTGGGATTAAACCAGAGATCCCTGCAGTGATGAAGCAGACTCCTCCAGCAAAGGAAATTTGACTCTTGGTGTGTATGTCCCCTCCTAAGTGAGTGCATTTCATTCCTACTATAGAAGTACAAATCCCCAAAGCAGACAGAACACAGGACAGGACCATGGTGGCCCTGGCCGTCTGCACGTGGATGGGGAGTGACAGAATGGAGTATTTCAGAGTGCAGCTGAACATCCCAGTGCTGTACCACGTGCAGTCCATCCACAGCCCATGCACCTGTACAATAGCAGTTACAATGTTGGAGCCCATGTCTGCATTAACCTTCCAGTTTGGCAGCAGAGTGGCAGTGAGTACTCCAGAGACTCCAGTCAAGGCCAGGATGAAAGCAAGGAGCTGGAGGCCTGCTGAGGCCATGATGTTACTCTGTTCTTACTTCTTACTTCTGTTCTCCTAGACAATCCCAATGGTTGATTGTGGTATGTGTTCAGATCGGCAGCTAGTTCTGTGCAGTTGAAAACCAAATAACAAAAGCTATGGAAAGAAGCAAAATCAGGATTGGAGGAGGAGGAAGAATAAGAAAACAAAAAGGTTTCACACAGCCAGAACACTCCTGAATAGCACTCTTTTTACCATGCTGCATGCATATACACACACAGGCACACAGAGCAGATGAGGGTGCTGCGGTCTCAGAAAAAAGTTCATAGTGGGCTTGGAAAATGGCATTCTTCTGAGTGATTATCACGAGCAGTGTTTGATTTGTAGCATAGGTAAAGTTATCCAGGTAAGACCCTAAGCATGCTGAAAACGTCTGTGAAGTGGAGGCGCCAACTTGTATGGCAGTTTAGACACTTCAAATTGTAGCTGTAGTATCTGATACAGAATTCTTTATAATTTTAAACAATAAAAAGCCTCAAATCTACCTCCTCCAAATAATAATATTAGAAGAGTTAAGAGTTAAGTTTGAATTAAAGCTTTATTCAGCACACACCATGTATGAGGCTTATGACTGAGTATATTGTTTGAAGGAGAAAAGAAAATAGAAGGACTTTAGAGTTCTGCACAATCCTTACCTAGATTAACATTTGTTCAGCTTCATGTCCCTGGAACTAGCTTATGAAAATATAAGATCCTTTCTCCTTGGAACCAGAATGCTTCCCAGTTATAAGCAAAGGGGAGTGTTCAGAACTGCAAAACTGACTCCCCTGAATGATTTAGAAGCAATGACAGAAAATCTTGAAAGTCCATGCAGGAAACAGCCATATGGTTGGCTGTAGGTAAAAATAATACCACTATCCCTTTTTTTTACTTTGTAGCTGGCTTAACAGAAACAAAAACTACTTGTTAATTTCCATCTTCATATTCCTGTTCCACCATTATGCACTTCATCTGATAGCATTTACTGCTTTCTTTGCGATAAATATGATTGTCTCTATAATGTTACAATATTGGCAGTTTTTTTCTTTCTGAAATAATTAATGATGCACTGCAGTGACTGTTATGAATGATTCCTATGCAAGCTTAATGCACAAATGGGCACTGTCGGCCTCTTCAAACCAAATGGCTTGTAGGTGGTTCTTGGTTTCTTGTCATTTCTCTGGACTTAAGTATCCTTCTGGAAAACGGGACATTTTGGTTTTTCTTTTTTCTTCCTTCCTTGGACTAACTTAATTTTCTTAGAATCCTAGAGCTGAAGGAAACCTCAGCTGTAATCTTGGGTGTGATTATTTTGTCTGCCATGGTCTTCTGCAGGGCTGCCAAGTGTAGCTCTTTGTCTCCTCCCACCTCCTTTCATCCTCTATGTCCTTCCTGTCACTTTGTGTTTCCCACTGTAGTGCTACATCAGAGACAGAACATCTGTCTTCTTTATGCCTGTCCTCTCTAGGAGAGCTAAGGCCTGTGTAGGGTACCAGCAGGACAAATGCTTTGGCTTTCCTTCTCACATAGAGACTGAAGAATGGCTTCCACTAAATACTTGAAGTGAAACTAATCTGGGCCTGTGGGAAGTACAAACCTGCCATGTCAGTAATTGAGTCTCTAAGACATCATCTCGTATTCTGCCTGAATTGAGTTCTGTTTTGTTGGTCCCCCAATTTTAGGGAAGGGTTTCCCTGGAAATTTACACTCTTGAGTCGGCCTGTGTACAAACGTAGTGATCTTAGGACTTAATCTGCTGGCGGGCAGTTTGCTTCATTTGTTTTCCAGATTTCCCAGCTCTACCCAAAGCAGAAGAGAAGTGAAAGGCCTGGGGAGGGCAAGCACACGTGCACACTTTTCTAACAGCTCTTGTGCCTGCCAGGGCCAGGCTGACAGGCTGTCTCCGTTTCCAGCCGTTGCGATCGCTGTCAGCACTGCCTAAGGTTTGACAGGATAACTTATTTGTTGATCAGTCTGTATCTGTTTTCCATTATAGCCCTTTCCTTTCCATCAGACAATACATTTTCTAAATTTTGGTGTCATGTAGAGCTGCAGTCAGTTGTCATAATTAAATAGTCCGGGCAGCAGACAGTCAAAAAGCAAGTAAATACTAAGACATTGCATCTAGTTAGCACAACACTGCTTGTTACACAAGATGACTTCACATCCTTCTTGTGCATAGAGAATTATGCAAAAAAAAACCCTGTTCTCTCAAGTGAAGGTCACTTTGTACAAATGCACTGGCATTCTCTGTTGCACTAGGGGCTCTCCTTTTCAGCCACAGGTGTGATAGCATGCTCCCTCAAATTTCTGTCTGGAGGAGAATCAAGGCCCACTTAGTTCAGCAACTGTAACAGCAGCAATAAGGAAATGTGAAAGGGAGGGGCCACAGGTGGGAACTTGAATATTTACGGAGAACACATTTCCCAAACACATCACATGGAGAACAGCCTAAAAGTTTCTAGTTTATGAACTGCTTGCCAAAATAAAGTCTGTAGATTGTTTTTTTCTAAATTCAAAGCCAGTTTTCCAGAAGAGATTCAATCATACCAAAAATATTTTTAAACAGATTCAATGAACTATTTAAATTTGAGTTTAAACTATGTAAATGAAGCAATGCCAAAGTTCTGTACTTAGCTGCTGGAATTATCTAGAAGCATTCCATACCTTTTGCCGGTAGCCCTCACAGCCTTAAGTGCACTCTGAGTCGACTCCAGGTGTCTTCAGTGTCTGGTGCGGACAATCCGCAGGGAGAAAGCCAGTTCTGAGAATCTGAACAGTGCCGGTGAAGTGCCGACAAGTTGACGTGAAAATAATAAATAAAGAGCTACTTAGAGATGAGAGGAGAAAACTGCTGATGGTGCCAGAAGATAAATACCAGGTTCTCTCTCTCTCATTTTTTGAGCTGTGGGAGAATTAAGAAAAGAGAGGCGGGGAAGGGAGGGAGTTGCTGTTATAACAGGATTTGTTGAAACCTGAAAGCTGAAAATGCTTTTGTGTTGCTGTGTACAGAGGAGGGATTATTTGGGTGCTCACAAAAAGGCTCTCTTTTCTTTTAATATTATGGTTTAGTCACAGAGTTATAATTTAGTTTTGAATTTTTGTCTGTGTTGGAAGATACAATTTTTATATCCCTCAGTTAAAGAATGCCATCTGAAATATTTTTAACTGGATTGTGCTTTGCACATGATAGTTAAGACTATCACTTTAATCTTTTATTCAGTTGCTCTTGTCTGTGAAACTAAGACTCCAAGAATTGTTAACTTTTAAAAACCACTCAGAAGAATTTTTTCTTTAAAATTTTTATTTAATAAAAGAAAGTGCAGCAACAGCTTTTCACTAGAATGTGATCCAAAAACCTACAGGTATGTTTGTTCTACCTCAAATCTTTTTCTGTCCCCTGAAAAAGAGTCTTGCAGGTAACTGTAAGTTAGGCTCTAGAGAAAAAGAAGAAATTGTACGAAATGATGTAATGAAGCATGGCAGAAAACAGCTTTGGCCAAGAACGTTTAGACAGATGCATTTCAGCCCTTTTAGGTTATCTTTTTTTCTTAATAATTTTATAACTTATAAATTGCATGGCCACTGGACAAAAAAGTAACCTTTTGATTATATTTTTAAATTTTACAACATTTTTAATAGTTGTGTTTTTTTTTTTTTCATACAGTATATTCCAGTTATGGCTCCCCTCCCAGATCATTCCCACATCCCTACGCACCCAAGTCTACACCCTTTCTTTCTCTCTTTCTCATTAGAATACAAACAGGCATCCACAAAAAGTAATAAATAAGATTTAAAACTAAGCCATGCATTGGTGGCACAAGCCTTTAATTCCAGCATTCAAGAGGCAGGCAGATCTCTGAGTTCGAGGCCAGCCTAGTCTGTAGAAAGAGTTCTGGGACAGCAGGGCTACACAATGAAACCCTGTCTCAGAAAAACCAATACTACTACTACTACTACTACTACTACTACTACTACTACTACTAATAATAATAATAATAATAATAATAATACAAACCAGAATAGGACAAAACAAAACAAAAAAAAAAAAAAAAAAAACAAGAAAAAGCACAAACCAGATGCTAAGACATGTCAGACATGTTAGTATTTTCTTTAAAAATAGTTAATTATAAAATGTGTTCCAAATGTTTGGGATTTTCCTAGTGTTTTGTTGTTTCAGCATACTCTTCCGACTTTGGCATTTAGCAATACTGTTTTTCTCGGTTAGAAATCTAATGTCTGGATTTGTTTAAGCTGCAATGCCCTTTAATAAAGATATGCAAATGGTGGCTGGGGTATAGTTTACTTATAGGCATGAGAGGTAACAACTGTTATTACTGTAGCTTCAGAAGCAGCCTGGCGGCTCCTTTCAGCAGTTTGCTTGACTTCTTACAGGCCTGTTAAAATGCAGACACTTTTTTTTTAGTTAGCAGATGAGAGATGGACTTACTTCCTCTGGGTTATGAAAGCCTGCTGAATGAAGCTTAAGTTCCAGGAGCATATTTGGAAATGTAATGAAACATTATCAGCTTCCAATGTGGATATTGAAGAGAAGTCTTGAAGTCCAGAGACTCTGTTCTAAATAAATCTTATGCCACGTTAGCTTAAGGCCTTCCCCGTGACCTTTGAAGTTGTGCTTCCATCTGCTGACCTGACAGGACTGGATTTATAGATATGCAAAACTGTCCCCTACCTTCCCCAAATATACTCTTCTATGTATGTAAGTCAGCACTTCCTCCTCTTGGCAAGCCTCAAATCCTAAATGTCATTATTTCTGTACACAGCATACATTCATTCAGCAAACTGTTTTGGTTTTTTAACTAGCTTAAAACCTGTCCAACTTTGCTGTGTCTCAGCAATGTGGCAGTGTAGCCCTGACATGGGGAAGGCCTCTGTCCACGTGATCACACCAGGGCTCTTGAGCCAAGCTTGATCCTGGTTTGTAGTGGGGCCTAATAAAATATTAGGAGAAAATTTCATCACTGCTTTTCAATGTATAA